AAAGTTATAAAAAATTTTCTCTATACTTTTGACAAAAAAAGGTTTGAGGTCTTTTTCAACAAACTTTTTTTTCCGATAGAACAAAAAAATAAAGGAACATATTTAGATGCACTTCAGACAAAAATTTAAAATTTAAACTCGAGTGAATTAAAACTGAGAATAACATAATTTGCAGAATTAATGAGTTTGCATCACAACAGATTCGTTGACCTACAAAGATTATTGTCAGTCGCATTCGCTAACATAGTACTGAGCAAAATTTGTAATAGCGAAGACTTATAAGATTTAGAAAGCTTGGTTTAAGAAATCAGAATAGAATAACTCGGTAAACCGGTGGCTTCATCAGGTTTTAAATTTTTTTTAAATATTAAAGTTAAAAAAGACTTGAATTAACCAACGAGATATATAAATGCTAAAAGAGTTTTATTTTTTTCTCTTTATAATTAACTTTTGAAAAATAATTTTATAAATTATTTCAGATATTTTTGGGCATTTAGTTTTTGATACGGTTTTAGAAGTGACAGATTTTGTAAAGCTCAAAGTCTGAATAGAACAGATAAGCTGAAAACGGTAATGCCAGGCATCAGGGTTTTAAGCGCATACGAAACGATTTTTGAAAACTGAGTAAAAACAGAAATGTTTACATCTTTACTTAAAAAGACTGCTTTTAGAGTTTTACCGTTATTGACAGCAAAATTTTTTTTTGAAATATTACCTTTACTCACATTTTTTTTTGAAACAATGTGCTTTTTATTAAGTGTCAGTTCGCCTCATAAGCAATTACTTTTCCAAAAAGTTATTTAGAGTTAAGAGTTATTATTCTAAGTAGGTTAATCAAGAAAAAGCGAAAAAAGTTAAAGTAGCAAAAATAGGGAGTTGAAAGTCGTAGAAGACAGGTTTTCAGACATTCTTTCATAAAACATTTTTTTTTTATGAGGAGTTTTATACTGAAGTATACTCGGTCGGTGCAGATTTGCAAATCAAAATTTCTTTTGTAAAACAAATCTCTCTTGCACAAATTGGGTGGGTATAATGCTGAAAAAGTTGTAAACAAGCTTATTTTTCGCTAAACACTGTTGTATCTATTTAGTGCCCACATCACTATACTGCAGGTGTTCTTGTTTTCTCAGCTTTAGGAAACTGAAAGTTTTTGTAAGATTTATTCTTACCTGAGTATTCGTCTTGGTAATTGCAAATACCGATCTCTAAAAACATTTTTACTGCAGTCAGTAATAACAAATTTTTATGATCGGCAACTTTTTTTCTAGTAAAACCTGCTTATTAAAATTTTTGTTTCACATTGTCAGTGAATTTCCAGTGGATCAGATTTTGTACTGACCAGTATTTTTTTGATAATTGTTTGGTGAGCACAATTTTCTCATTTTACTCCACAAGCAGCAAACAAAAAGAAAAACAAAAACAAAAAATTGGAAAAGACTGACAGAAACACGGCGGTTACAATGATAGCCCAGTATTTGACGACTGCGGTTTTAATAAAATATTAGGGTTACTTAAAGGAAGTAAACAGAGTCTGTTGAAAAGCTCTTTTTTTAGTAGAATAAAATAGTTAAAAAGAAAATCTGTTTGAATTGGAGTCGAGCAAGAATCTAAGATTTAAAGTTATCCAAACTCAAAAGTTCAATGCAGTTTCGCTAAGAGTAAGACAAACCAAAAAAAAAAAACAAAAAGTTATTATTTGACAAATTTTTTGGTGTAAAAAAAAATTATATTTGGCTACATTTCGAGTTATCACATTGAACGGAATTTGAAACAGCAACTTAAATCTTTTTGAGATTCAGGAAATACAGTTTGAGAAGCTGAAATAGAAAGGTTTGTAAAAATGGCGACTCTGTCAGGTTTTTATATCATTTAGTTGGGCAGGTTAAATATATTTATTTCAAATAATCTTTTTTATTTACAAGGTTAAAAAAAATTCAAAATAGCTAAACAAATATAAAGCTACCAAAAAGAATGAAATTTTTCAACTCAAATGTATAGCTGCTTTATAAATCGTTTCACCTGCTTTATAGGTATTCAGCGTTCAGAGCAGTTTTGAAGCCAGAAGACATATAATGTTTTTGTCCTTGACATTTTATGCTAAATGCAGTAGTTACTGTTGAAAATTTTTTTAAAAAAAATCGGCAGTTTTTCTAGGAAAACAAAAATAGTTTTTAATGACTTAGACCCTTTTAGAGAATGTCAAGCTTTGTTTATCTATACGAATCTTTAATCGTTTTCTATCTAAAATTTGATTCATTTTTTCTGTAACTGTTTTGCTACCCAAATTTTTTGCTGAGCAGTGCGATGCTAAAATTTACAGGTATATACAGATGGAAAATAGTTGATATTTTTTGTGTATACTATTTATTTTTGATAAAATTGCTGGTGAACAAATTAATGCACTAGAAATCTAGAAAGACTAAATTTTACGCCTTTGTGGGCACTTTGCTTATTTTTCTTTGTAAACGAGGTTATCAGATTGGTGATACGATGCTTTGCAAACAGCTTAATCTTTATCAACGCAACTGGTTGTGTTTTTACATAAGCCACATGTGCTTAGACATTATTTGAAAGCCATTTCTTTGAACAACAAACTAGTACTGATATATAGTCCTAACAGATAATAATTGTCACAATTTTCTTGGTATCCTCAAAGGTCAGAATATTAGTTTGATAGGTCATTTGTAGAAATTTTGTATTGTTAGTTCAAAACGGTTTCATGTTTGAATTAACTGTGGCTAAAAATTTTGACATTGTTTAAGAAATTCAAAAGAAGCCTGTTATTTTGCCACATTTGGGATTGTCATCTAAACAGCATACAAAACACTGACAATTTTTTACTGACAATACTTTTTGGCTCTACTCCTAAAGATGTTGATAAATTTTTTGTTATTTTCAAATTGTAAAAGAATTACAAACTATCTATATTAAGATTGGTTTGAATTTTTCACTGTTGAATTATAAACCCTGTGCAAAAAAACGTCATTTTAGTTATCTGCTCAAAAAATATGATACTGTAGTAGGAGTGAAGAAGTTTACGGACCTTCTCGGTGCAGTGAACAGCTACACACAGCTACACATACACAGCTGCTATGTTTGAAGATTTCTGTTTATTGCAGTTGAAGACTCAATCTTCCAAATTCATTCCGTTCAGCTCATTAATAAACTGTTATATATAATGACTTGAAATCAACATACAGGTGAAAAACTGAGCAACGTTTGTCTTCTGGCAAATTAGTTCTAGAATGATTCAGGAGTGAACGAAAATGACAAGTACTGAATAAAGCGATAGAGGTTGGCTTTCCATCTACAATGTAAAGAAACCTTAACTGTTATTGTGCTACCCGCTTAATTTTTTTCAATGTTTATTTATCAACTAATAAATGTGGTAAATTATGCAAAACATTAATTCTTTTATTTTGATAGTGTTTAAAATTTTAAGAAAGAAAAAAAAA